TTCATTGTTTCCTCTCTGAGCCAGGAGCAATGGAGTCCCAGCTGACATTCTGAGTCTGGGGCTTTCCTACTCTCTTTTAAGAGCATTCCCAGGTACGATCTCACATGTCGGTGAGTTCGAGCCCCGCGTCAGGCTCTGGGCTGATGGCTCGGAGCCTGGAGCCTGTTTCCGATTCTGTGTCTCCCTCTCTCTCTGCCCCTCCCCTGTTCATGCTCTGTCTCTCTCTGTCCCAAAAATAAATAAAAAAACGTTGAAAAAAAATTAAAAAAAAAAAAAAGAGCATTCCCAGGAGACAAGACAAGTGTTTCTGATCATTTGTTGTTTGAAAGTCCCTTTTCCTTCTGGAGCTACTTGCTATCCCTATTAGAATTTGAATTATTGGCTAATTGTCTAACAGTCTCAGAAGGTCTTCACATAGTAAATGCAGAAGTAAGAAAAAGTGTATTTGTTAGAATGTTTCATTGCAAGTAGTTGACTATGCAGGCAATATTGGCCAACCACTAAGGAAAGTTTATCATTTCATGTTCAAAATTCAGGGGCACATTAGCACCAGTGTTGGTTAATTTGGTGACATCATTATCGTACTGTTAAAGAATGATTAATGAAGATCATTTAGATGATAGAAACTAACTTTAAACACTTGATGAACTAGACAGTCTCCTTTCAGAGAACCACAAAATGGGATGAAAGGCAGGAAGCTTTTTACAGGATAAAGAATAAACAACAAGGAAAAGACAAATAGAAAAGAACTGATAGTCTGGGGCCATATAGTCAATCTTGTTTGGGCCAAGAAGGCTCAGAGTTGGTTTGGCATTCTGAGACTGGCTAACTGAGTACACTGTGTGTCTGGTCAAGGGGAACTTGTTTATAGGGGCACAGAACTTATCCAAGTTTGGTTTGCTGAGGTGACATCCTGAGCAGCAGTGGCTCCATCTGGGGCCCAGAAATTATTTCAGCACCATCAAAGACAAAAATTCTTTTTTTATCTATTGTTTTCTATCCTCAGGATATGGGCTTTTTTCCCATAAGCTTGTCTTCATGGTTAAAAAGTGGCTGCTGCAGCTCCATACATCATGTTTGTACACATCAGAGTTCAAAGGCTAAAGACCATAGATCTCTTCCTTGTATCTCTTTTAAGAGCGAAGAACCACATTCCTAGGACTCGACATCAGGCTTATGTTTGCTTTCATTGCCCAGAACTACATTTCTTTCCTAAACAATTGATCTGCCTATCCATATAATCTATTTCAACATCTCTTCCCCATGAGCCAGCTACTGAGCAGACCCAGTATCCAATGACTATAAACAATGGTGTCCGGGAGGAAAATGCATCCTTAATCAGGGAATGTAGAACTGTATCTTCTAAAGAAGATGGCAGTAAACATCCTAGCCCTTTTTTCTAATCTTTCTGCACCTTCACTTTGGCTTTCCAGCTAAGGGAAACTTGGTTTTGTGGCAGCCATCAAAATAGAATAGAAATCTACATTCCTACTAGCCTCTGGCAAAGAAAATTGACACTATACTTGAATATTCATAGTCCTAAATGAGTATTCTCCCTTTAATAAGTATCCATGGGCATTTGCAGCTGACTGTTTATTCTTATGAAACAAGCCACTGAGTGTGTGTGGATGGGTATAGATATACACAAATCATATGTATAGCTTTAGAAGAATTCTCACTTACTAGAGCTTTTAAAGGTTACGTGGTATCTTCATTCAACACAATATATTTTCAATAATGATTTTTTTGGCAAAGCGAGTAAATTAGACTTTTGTTCATTTGGTGCAAGAGGCAACTTTGTTGCTGTAATATATACAATTAAACGGAGTTGAGATGTACTTTAAATGAAAATTGAAAACAAATTAAGTAATCAGTCAATGTAATGTTTGTGGTTATAGCTCTTGTATATATTTGGATAAGTTAAGGGTGGAAAAAAGCTGTTCAGCATTGCTGGGCATTTTATTTTATTCCAAGGGGAAAGAAGTAGCTGGCAACATTTGAAATTGGCTGTAAAATATTACAGATAATGATAATTTGTTTTTATATTTGTATGAGCCCTTCATCTATTCCCATAGATCAAGTTTAATCATATGGCATATTACTATCTACTAGTGTTAGAATTAGGCAATCTGAAGTTTAGCTAATGAAATATATTTATAGGTTTTTGGCTTTTTTTTTTTTTTGGTTAATCTTTCTTACTAACCAGGAGTAGGACCTTTTAATTTGACATTTGGAAACATTTGTATTAATAATAGCAATTTTTTAGGTTCCATCTTCTCGCAGTTTGACATTTGTAAAGTTAATGTGTATCTTTTTATCGCTTATTACAAATTATTTCCTTAATTTTATGACTTTGGGATGGCTGCCAGTGACTTACTGCCTCAAAAATCATGATGTTGAGAAAGAGATGATTATGTTTTATATTTAGTTAGATTTATTAGTGCTGACTTGGGCTTTGTGCTGAGGCAAATGGGTTTACACAAGTCATCTGAAGATTTTTGGGTCTCTGCTTAAAGTTCAAATTCAACCATTACAAGGCTATGATAATTTATGAAGCTTAATCCCTGAGCCATTATTTTTCACAGTTAACTACATTTGTTTTAGATTTTGAATGGGGATCTTAACTCGGGTTTTGATGCAAGTATCACACCCTGCTATACATTGCATTCTGTTTTAATACAGTACTAAACTTCCAAGAGCAATAAATTAGTTTGCTTTCCCCCTCACCTCTTAAAATTATGCATTTTTAAAAAGCCTCTGATTTTCCAGTATTTTTCTGTCCTATTTTTTTAGTCCAACTGTATTAAAAAGGTGTGGGGGATAAGGGGTGCCTGGGTGGCTCAGTCAGTTGAGCATCTGACTTCTGCTCAGGTCATGATTCATGGGCTATCAGTTGGTGCCCCATGGACTTTGTGCTGACAGCTTGGAGCCTGCTTTGGATTCTGTGTCTCCCTGTGTCCCTGCCCCTCCCCTGCTTGTGCTCTGACTCTATTTCTCTCTCTCTCTCTCTCTCTCTCTCTCTCTCTCTCTCTCTCTCTCTCTCAAAAATAAATAAACATTAAAAAAAAAAAGGTATGGGGAATTTCAGCTAAATTTGTTCATTGGCATTTATTCTACGAATTAATTTTCTGACTTAAAGTCATATTTAATTTATATTTTTTATTTAAGTTATTTAATACATGTATTTTTCAGGACTGTTGATCACAAGTAACAGAAATGCCATTGAAAGTGTTTCAGCATAGCAGAATTTACTGGCTTGTATAATGGCACAGTCTAGGGAATTCATGCTTTAGGCATGGCTGTCTCAAGTACCTCAAACAGGCTCCTTAGTAATCTCTCTTCTTCTCTTTCTCAGTAATGCTTTTCTTTTTGTTGACTTCTCTCTCTTAGAAACTCCTTCATTCTTATAGCCTTGCACACTGGCATCATTATATCCTACAAACTGCCAGTCCAACAAAAATGAGAGATTTTTATTACATATAATCTCAGTAAAAATGAAATTAAATTCCTCTCCATTCTATAACAATCCCATCCCTGACCCATATTCTGTGGCTAGGAGGTTAGAATGTATCCATTTTTGACAAAGTGTGGTCCCTAGATAACCCCCAGAAACATCACCAAAGATTTGGTTAGAAATACTTATTCTCAGATCCCTTCTATACCCAGTCAAAAAATCCTACTGTGGGACCCAGTATACTGGGTGGTAAGGAACCCTCCTAGTGAAGCATTCTCAAGCTTGAGAACCCCTGCTGTACATTAACTGGCCAAGACTGGGTCATGTGAGCAACTCCTGGAGCTTCAGTGTAAGTTTCATCTCACAGCAAGCATGTAGAAAAGAGTTCTGAGGAACCAATATCAGGAAAGAGGAAGAGTAGATGGTGTGCTGACAAGAGATCTCTGCTACAATGAAATTTCAGCCCGACACTACTTTTTCTTTGTTTCTAATGACATTATTTCTCAGAACACTGTTGATTATGAATTCCCCTCTAGAAAACCACTATTCTAATTAAAGCAAATCAACATTCATCCTCCTCTAGGATACGGTATTTTAGTTTTAAATTTCATCTCTGAATAGGTAGGTACGTGGCCAATATTGAAAGGTTTCCAGACCATATTTTTTTTTTATTCAAATGCTTACCAATTACTTAGATATGGCCAACTACCATTATATACCCTTCAGTAATGAACCTTATTACTCCTATGTGATAAATAATAGACTAAAATGAATTTGCTTCAAAATTTCTCATTGATAATGGCAGTGATGCCTACAGAATTTTAGGAAAGGTAGTCAACATTGCAATATCACCTAAAATAATTTTAAAACAAATTTTTAAAAAGCAGCTAGTAAGGGAGATGCATGTAACATTTCACATTACTTAAAATTTGTGTTTTGATTTATCATTTGTTAAAGATTTGTTAAAGATCCAAAGGTAGTTGTTTATTTTTTTTTGTTGTTCATTTGTTTTGTTTTGTTTTTGTTTTTTCCTTTTAGTATATTCTTACTTGGAATGTGTAGGGTAGGAATAGGGAATATGTATTTTTTAACAGTTGCCACAGGGAATTTTTTTATTATTATTATTTCTTTATTTTGAGAGACAGAAAGAGCATGAGCCGGCAAAGGGCAGAGAGAGAGAGGGAGAGAGAATCCCAAGCAGGCTCCATACTGATTTGCGGCTTGATCCACGAACTGTGAGATCATGACCTGAGCAGAAATGAAGAGTCTGGATGCTTAACCGACTGAGCCACCCAGGTGCCCCAACCACAGGGAAATCTTAAAATCAGGCATGTTTGGCATACTCCATAGTAGCAAAAAGTAAGGATGCTGTGGTGGAATAGTTGAGGTCAAATCTTGGTCTTAGTTCAAACTAACTGTAGGGAGGTGGGTAGTTCTTTAGCCTTGTCAAGTCTCAAATGCTGCTTCTATCATTGTTGTTGTTTCCTTCTCTCCCTTTTCTCTTAACTAATCTGCCAGTTACACCTTCTCATTTCTTATGCTGCAGATAGAGGACATGCAGTGGGGTAAAGGAGTCCGGGAGATCCCCCCCTCAGTGTGCACACTGCCATGCAAGCCTGGGCAAAGAAAGAAGACTCAGAAGGGAACTCCGTGCTGCTGGACCTGTGAGCCTTGTGATGGCTACCAGTACCAGTTTGATGAGATGACATGCCAACATTGCCCCTACGACCAGAGGCCCAATGAAAACCGAACCGGCTGCCAGGATATCCCCATCATCAAATTAGAGTGGCATTCCCCCTGGGCCGTCATCCCTGTCTTCCTAGCAATGTTGGGGATCATTGCCACCATCTTTGTCATGGCCACTTTCATCCGCTACAATGACACGCCCATTGTCCGGGCATCTGGGCGGGAACTGAGCTACGTTCTGTTGACTGGCATCTTTCTTTGCTACATTATCACTTTCCTGATGATAGCCAAACCTGATGTGGCCGTGTGTTCTTTCCGGAGAGTTTTCTTGGGCTTGGGTATGTGCATCAGTTATGCAGCCCTCTTGACAAAAACCAATCGGATTTATCGCATATTTGAGCAGGGCAAGAAATCAGTGACAGCTCCCAGACTCATAAGCCCAACATCACAGCTGGCAATCACTTCCAGTTTAATATCAGTTCAGCTTCTAGGAGTTTTCATTTGGTTTGGTGTTGATCCACCCAACATCATCATAGACTATGATGAACATAAGACAATGAACCCTGAGCAGGCCAGGGGAGTTCTCAAATGTGACATTACAGATCTCCAAATCATTTGCTCCTTGGGATATAGCATTCTTCTCATGGTCACATGTACTGTGTATGCCATCAAGACTCGGGGTGTCCCAGAGAATTTTAATGAAGCCAAACCCATTGGATTCACTATGTACACGACATGTATAGTGTGGCTTGCCTTCATTCCCATTTTTTTTGGCACTGCTCAGTCAGCGGAAAAGGTAAGTGAAAATGCACACCACACCACACATTCAAAATATGTCTGTTTTTGTAAATATTGAAACCAAATTGATTGTATAAAGCAAGAAGTTTTATATCCTGAATTACTAGGCTTCAGTGCTACAGGAATCTAAAATCTGCAGGGAACTGTGCCACATTCATTTCACTGGAAACCAACAAGAGGTAGCTTTTTCAAGTTAATTTGTGATGGAATTATTCAGTGTAGCAAGAGCTCATCCAGTATAAAATCATGCAGTCTGTCCAAATGAAATCTTCCTATTCATTCATTACCCGCCCTCTCTTCTTACACATATATTTCCTTGGGATAGGAGAAAAAGGCCACAATGCTTCACTGGGATGAAGATGGTCATTACTAGCTCTCTCTGTCTTGTTAGTGGCTTTCTAGGTTTTCACCGCGGATTGGACCTAGTTTGTGAGCAACACAACATACTAGAAGTTCCGTTTGCATATTTATATATATATATATATATATATATATATATATATATATACATATATACACACACACATACACACACACACATATATATGATATATATTTCATACATATTCATCCACTATATATTTATGTGTGTGTGTATATATATACATGCATATACATGTACATATATACATACCTACATATATGCACACACACATACACACACACACATATATACACACATATATATAGTGGATGAAAATAGGAGAGTTTTGGTTATCACTGTATCCTGGGCTCCCTAAAGCTAGATATACATCTGTCACATCAAGTGATTCAGAGTGACATGAGAGACTCAACTTTCTAGCCATGGGAGGGACAGTATGTAGTACAGCAGGTGTCATCAAACTGTGGAAACTCAAAGTTGGCAAAATTAGTGGACCCTAATATGTTGGTCCTAGATATGGTTAGTGTGCATTCTCCCCCCCCCCCCATATAGTTATACAGTTTTATGAGTCTGTAAGTTAGGCAGCCCTAATGTGTTGATTCTTAAAGCAATTAATATATGTCCAGCTGTAGGTTCAACAGGCATGCAATTAGGCACTGCTAAAGCCTTGATTCTACATGAGATTCCTACACATCTTTTATACTCACCTGGATTTGGTTTTGTGTGTATGCAAATTGGGCAGTTCTAATATGGTGATCTTAATAAGATGTGCTGTCCTTCATTCCTTAAAGTCAGCTCTGGCATGGTGGTACAGCTAAAGCCAGAACCAAGACCTAGAGCACTAACTGGAACACTGTATAAGAGAGGGCATGCATATAGCTTGATTAGAAGTGAAAATGTAGGGAGTGTAGCCTGATTCTGTGTTACTTTGTAGGAGTCTCTGAAGCATTCAAGGACTTAGTGCCCTAAATGAGGAAAACAAGGATTGAAGTAGGAATCTCTACAAATTCACAAATCTGTGCCTCTAGGAATTCATTGAATCTGAATTTTTCATTATTACTTCTCTTCTCATATAATCCTGTAAATTATTAATGACCTTTGACTGGTGTTCCAATGGAGAAATTGTGTGATTCAGAATCCATCAGTTTGGACTGTGTGGGGTTTGGGGTTTTTTTGTTTGTTTATTTGTTTTTAATGAGTATCTCATAAAACCACAGAGAATTCTGAAACCAAGGACAGTGAATGGTTCCAGATATGGTTTTAGTCATGAATGTCTTAGAGGAAGTTCTAAAATACATGCTCAACAAGCATAGTATGTTTCCAACAGTATGTTTCAAATTCATAATGCATGTTTACTGTCTGTGAAACCAACTTGAATTGCATTTTATTGCTTCTATCTATCCCTGGGCCAAGGGAATAGTAAAATATGAGTTAGGGTAGTGAAACGCAATAGAGAGAAAAAGGAAAAGAATTTCCCAAACGTATGCTAGTAAGTTGATAACCATTGAACTTTTTATGGGAAATGATGTGTATTATCAAAACCTATGAAGATAATAATTATTTTTTATTAAAACAAACACAAATCCCTATGTAACAGGCTAAAAACATTAAATCCTTTTCTTATAAATTTATTGTTGGGGAATATAAAAGGCAGGAGTACCTGCAGTTTTATAGATGGTCCCTGTTGTAATGATATTTGACAATTCAAGGCTCTACCCTTTAATTTGTCATTTCTAGCCCTTTCTGGTCATGACTGTGAATCCTTTCTGTAAGATCATGGGTATAGTCGACTCATTTAAATACCTGAAAGTGATAGACGGCTTCAGGAATTGAATTCACTGGTTCCAGTTGTTCTGTAAGACTTTGAGCTGGTTGAACTGAACTACAGCAATTAGTAGGCTGTCTTTAAGCAGTGTGCTTTGTATCCTAGAGTTTTGAAGACATGTATGTTTTTCTTTGTATACGCTCAATGGTTTGTGATGTCTTACATGGTTGATTGGCACAATTAAAGGTACTAAATTGCCAAATGGGAACAGTGAATTTTATATGGAAATTCACACATCTTAAAGATAGGCATATGGCTAGAGAAGCATGAGTGATAAATTTAAAATATTTTTTTGTACATGAAACCATGGAATTTAAATTGTGGAAAGCGGCAAATTGACAAATGCAACAGAGATCACAGAAAAAGGCATCATTGCCAACCTAAAAATATTCAGAATCACAGCCCTTCCATTTCTGTTTAGATTGAAGAGTCTGAGTGTTTAAGTGAAGAATTCCATTGTAACAAAAATAAAGGATTAGGCGGTGATTTCAGTAATAACTATTTACTGTTTTAGGAAATTGAAATGATTTTGATTATGATAAGGATATCTTTGTGAAGTTTCTCATCAGTTGAGTTCATTAGCACAGCACAAAGTATGAGAAATGTTTATTTTCTCGTGAAATATCAACCCTCAGTATATTTTTGCTTTTGTGAAGAAGGATGCAGGAGATTACAGTTATCTTGTTTTATTTTTGCTAACCCTGTGATTATGAGGATCATGCAACAAGGTTAGGCATGATGAAGGAGGTAAACTTGAGCCATAAGAGAATGATCCCTGGTTTTAGGAATTTCTATTTAGGTGACTGAGATGATTCAAGGAAACACTGGAAATAATAGAGTTATAGAAATGTGGGAACTAGCTGGTCTAGTCAAGTGTGGTATTGTCCCATTGCTATATACTGGCAATGGCTACTGGAGGACTAGATTGTTTGCCATGAAAAAAAGTCTTTGTTTATGGCTTATCTATCTGTTTTGCATGCCTCCTGGAAAAGAGCTGGGTTCATACAGGGAGGATACAATCTACGCCGCCAAAATAAGAGAAACCCTGTAGAAGTTAGGTTTATCCAAATCTTTTTAACCAGTTGTCAGGAGAGCTTTCTAGGTAAGCCAGTGTTTTTTTTGTTTTTTTGTTTTTTGTTTTGTTGGTTTTTTTTACACATGGATGAGGAGAAAACCTTTACACCACTTGGCTCTGCAAAGGCAAAGTAGACCTTGATATAAATGGAGTGGAGTCAGAGGTTCTCAGAGGTCTTCCCCTCTGTGCATATGTATTTGTTTGGGTAGCCAGGTGGGGAGAGGAAGAGAAGGAAGAGCATTGAGGCATTTTATGTTCAGGGAAGAATGCTGGAGAAAGAGCAGTGGCTGAAAGGAAGGAGGATGTCTTCTGTAATGCGGCCCACAGGCCATTCTTCATATATCAGAACAGAATTGCAAAGATTATAGCACGTAAGTAATAAGATTCTTTGGTTTTCACTGAAGCATTATTCCACGAGGTGACAGAAGAGGGCTACTGCTAGTAATCTCTGAGCCAACTCAGGATCCTTAATTCCATGGTTCTTAAAATTGTGTGTATGATAATCCCCATTGGAACTTGTCTTTAAAAATATTCCCAACTGGTTCAATAGGGCAGTGGGATGGGCATAGAACTCTAGACTTCTTAACAAGCATGCTGGAAGTATGTCAGCACAAACCAAGCATGCTTCTGAAAACTACCTGAACTTTTTTTTCCTAATCCACCAAACATGTCATATAAATATTTCCTGATCTCTATTTTTAGAGCCTTTAAGAATAAATTAATTCTCATCTCAAGCAACTGGGAGGTCCAGAGATCAAGGAACCAGGAGATCAGAAAGACATTATTCAGAGTCAGAAACAAAGTTTAGACTCAGGAGGTCTGAATGAAGTGTCAACTCATAGGCTTTGGCTAGAGACCTTAAAAAAGTCAGGACCAAGACATTGACCCTGCAACCAGAGACAGCAAAGAGACAGGCAGAAAGAAATGTCCACGAGTGTTTCTAGAGGATTTAGACATAAGGCAACATTTTGATCTTCCACATGTGACAGAGCCCCAGAATCTGAACACAGTGAACTAATCTAGGACTGACATTAAGGATCAGAAATATTTGGCAGGTAGGTAAATATTTCCTAATCTGTGCCCTGGGCAGACAGTGATAATCAATTATGGCGAGCTTTCTCTAAACCCAGGTGTGGTCTTAAAATCCTTATCAACACAGTCGTTAGGCAGCCACTACCAGTAAGTCAGAACTGGCAGGAATGTGAAATCCATGTGTCATTTCTGATTATTACTGGACACTGACAAATGACCTTTGATATCTCTGCCAACTCAGCTGTTTGTTGTCCTTGTGCAAGAGCCATGGGTGGCTTTCATTAGAATATATCTGCTTAAATATAAAGAATACTCAGGAAAATGGTAGTGTGCTTGAATTAGTCTTTATCTTGTCTCTGATTATACATCTCTAAGTTTTCAAAGGCCATACAGAAAGGAACAGTCCTAGCTCCCTTTGGGAGTCATATATTAGTTTATGCCTCTGCCCTATTTGATTTGATTAAGATTTTCTCATGGTCTTTGAGCACTTGCTCCACCAATTGTGAAATAACCTACTATGTCCCTAGTATTCTGTGAAGGACTGGGGAGGAGAGGTGAAGAAGGCACCATGTTCTTCAGTCAGGAAGTCACAAGCTAGCGATCAACAGAGATGTTCAAACCAACTTTGAATAGTGTGAGGCATGCTACAGTTGTCAGACGAGGACTGAAAGACAGGCACCCCAG